TTAATCTCTTACTTTTACAGCAGCTACCTACCCCTATCCTCCTTCCCATGGAAAGCAGCTATGAGAGCAGCCTGCACACAGCTTGTGGGAGATGGGGTGAGCAATAGAACACTATCCTCCAAATGCTCTCAAATGCAGGGAGCATGTATTCTTTATTATTGATTCCACAGAAGTAAAAAGAATTATAAGGTGTACTATAGCAAATGCACAACAAAAATTGGATAACCTAGATGAAATAAATAAATTCCTAGAAAAAGAAAATCTACCAAGACTAAATCACAAAGACATAGAAAAAGAAAATAGACCTATAACTATTAGGAAACTGAATCAATAATCAAAAGTTTCCTGACAAAGAGGAGGAGTCAAAATGTCAGTGGAGTAGGTGGAAGGTACACTCATCTCCTCTCAGGACCAAATTGGAATTACAACTAAAATATAGGACAATCAACCTGAATAACCAAGTGATGACTAGCTGGAAAAAAAAAAAAGGCTTATGAAGCAAGGATTTTCAGAAGAAGCTACATTGAGACTGGTAGGAAGAATGGACAGGTGAAAAGGGATGGCCCTGTTCCTATAGCAGCAACTAAGAATCTATAAGGATATCTCAGCTGCAAAAGTTCACCCTGAGGAGCTTGTGGTTTCAATCCCATGCAATGCCCCCAAGCCCAGAGCACCAGAGATGGGAAAAGATGTCCACACAGCATATGGTTGTGAAAATCAGTGAGGATTCTGTCCACCAGGGAGAGACCAGAGTCTGCTATAGGCACAGGTGCTTTCTTAAAGGGACAGGATACAAAATCTCATTCTCAACCACTCACCCTGGGTGACAGCAGAGGGAGGGTGGAACAGAGTAGAGTTGTATGAGAAGACACTAAGGTTTGTAACTCTGGGGATAGAGCTGAAGGAAAAGCTACCAGGATCCCCATGCTGAGTCCCTCTCCCACACCACAGATGCCATATTTTGTGGGAGAAGCACTCCCTTTCACATGACATCAGCCTGGGGCACTGCAAAAGCCCACTGTCTGGTCTCCCCATCCTTAACCTGCGGTGCTTGTGCTCTGCTGAGAAGTCAGCTGTCTGGGCTAGAGTGTCGAGGTCCGGAAAAATTCAGGGAGTGTCAGTAACTGAGTTTTCTGGCTTTGGTACAGAAGCCGCAACCCCTACGTTCCTGTGAACCTGACTGGAACCACACCACCATGGTAGATCTGCTAGCCCCACTCTCCAGGCTCTCAAGGAATCCACACTCCCAACTCTTGGAGAATCTGTCCTGCCAAGGTCTGGGCAGAATCGAGGACAGACTGAGTTGTGTGGCTCTGGGGTCAGGGCCACTTCCCTCACCTTCCAAAGACTGACCAGCCCCTTCTCCTCACAGGAGATCCACAGGCACATCCTTTCAACCCTTGGAAGCCCTGACCTGCTGATACTGGGATCCTGGCAGAATCTGAGATAGACTGAGTTGTGTGGCCCTAAAAGAGGGTCCGTTTTTCCCTTGCATACCTGACCGGTGCAGAGCCCTGTCTTCATGTGGCCAAATATTGGTCTGTTTGGACTTGATAAACTCTTATGGCCTAAGCCTGACAAGCCTTGAGACCCCACCCAACAACAAAGGTGTACAAGCACCCAGCAAGTGGCAGCTAGATTTGATATACCTTGGGACATTTGCTGACTGGCCTCAAACACAGCACTGGCACTGAGTTTGAACTGGTATCAATCCAGTGAACACGACCAGAAGCTCTTTCAGTGATTGAGCCTAACAGGCAGCCCACAGCCAAAAGTAGGCACAGGCAAAATCAGAATGCCTTGGGCCTTTTCTGACCTGCCCCTAGGCACAGTGCTTGTGGAAGCCAGGCTTGGTTCAGAGCTTCGCTGCTTAGTTCCATTTGCTTGGACCTTCCCAAGCACACCCAGGTCCAGCAGAGGCAGCCACAAACTGTGAATTTCTCTGTAGCTCCAGACAGGTTGTCCAGGGCCTGTCACAGGTAGTATCTGACTTTGACTGTACAATACTGCCTCCCAAGAGGCCCTGAAACAGCACACCCAGGGACCAGCTTCTAGCAACGTCAGAGCAGGATCCAATTAGGTTCACAAGAAGCATAACCAAAGGCAGATCTCAGCAGGCTCCAGACCCTACTGAGGCAAGTTTTGCTTTACACAGTCAGCACCTGCATAGTAGCTCAAACACTGTGTCCAGGTTCAGTCTTCACAGTCAGCCAGCCTGTGGGATGAACACACTTATAAACAGACCAACAGGGTCAAGACTCAATTACAAAAGAAAGGCTTACGTAACCCACACACAAGCCATTCCTGGAGACCCAATTCAGGTGACCAAGGAGACTACACCACTGGGTCCCACAAAACACCTAATACATAACGCCACCCTACCAAGACTGAGAATCATAGCAAATTTACTTAATACATAGAAAAAAATCACAGAGTCAGCCAAAATAGGGAGACCAAGATGCATGCCCCAAATGAAAGAACAGGAAGAATACCCACAAAAAGAGCTAAATGAAATGGATACAAACAATTTATTAGATATATAGAGTTCAAAAAATGGTTATAAGTATGCTCAGGAAACTTAGAACTAAAACACCATGGAAAAAATACATAGAAACCATTAAAAAAATAAATGAATACAAAAGCTGAAATGAAGAATACACTACAAGGTGTAAACACTAAGTTGGATGAAGCAGAAAATCAAGTCAGTGATTTGCAAGACAAGGTAGAAAAAACACCTAATCAGAGCAGTAAAATAATAATAACAATTTTTAAAAATTAAAATACTTTAAGGGACCTGTGGGACAGCATAAGGAGTAACAACATTCACATCATGGGGGTACCAGAAAGAGAAGACAGAGAACAAGAAATCAAGAACATATCTAAAGAAATAATGATCAGAGCTTCCAGACACAATGGACATATAGGTAGATACGCTTTTCGTCCTTGCACAACCAAAAGCAGGACAACAAATTTAAAAACAAAAAGCAACCAGAAGTATCAGAAAATCAAACTGTATGGAAGTTTGACAACCAAGGAGTTAAAGAGGAAATTTTCATCCAGACCAGTAGGAGGGGCAAAGAAGGGCAGCCAGGGTGGAGAGGATGCACAGCAAGGCAGCAGCTGGAGGACTGGGCAGGCAAGACCACAGCTGGTGGTCCCAGATTTGCTGGTGGATAAACCAGAAGGAATAACAGGGGAGCGAGACAGACCATGCAACCCAGGGTTCCAGCATGGGAAAAGAAAGCCTCGAAACCTCTGGCTGTAAAAATCTGTGGGAGTTGAGGAGGCAGGAGAAACTCCCAGCCTCACAGAGGAGTTCATTGGAGAGATCCACAGGATCCCAGAACCTAAAAAAACCCACCCACCTGGAAATCAACGCCAGAAGGGCCCAATTTGCTTGTGGGGAGCAAAGGAAGCGACTGAAAGCCAGCAAAGAACTGAGCAAGCAGCATTGTTCTCTCTTGGACCCCTCACCTATATACAGCACCACATACAGCACCACAACACAGTGACCTGGGTTGCCCCACCCTGGTGAATAACTAAGGCTCTGCCACTTACAATGTCACAGGTGTGCCAAGACAAAGAAATATATCCCAAATGAAAGAATAGATCAAAACCCCAAAAATAGAACTAAGCAACAAAGAGATAGCCAACCTATCACATGAACAGTTCAAAACACTGATAATCAGGATGCTCACAGAAATGGTTGCATATGGTCACAAAATAGAGGAAAAAGTGAAGGCTATACAAAGTGAAATAAAGAAAAATATACAAGGATCCAACACTAAAGGGAAGGAAACTGGGACTCATATCAATAATTTGGAGCAGAAGGAGGAGAACAGAATGACGAAACAAGAATTCAAAAAAAATGAGAAGAGGCTTAGGAACCTCCGGGACAACTTTAAATGTTCCAACATCTGAATCATAGGGGTACCAGAAGGAGAAGAGGAATAGCAAGAGATTGAAAACTTATTTGAAGAAATAATGAAGGGGAACTTCCCCAATCTGCCAAAGGAAATAGACTCCCAGGAGATCCAGGAAGCTCAGAGGGTCCCAAAGAAACTGGACCCAAGGAAGCACACATGAAGGCACATCATAATTACATTACCCAAGGTTAAAGATAAGGAGAGAATCTTAAAAGCAGCAAGAGAAAAAGGAGTTCCCAAAAGACCATCAGCTGATTTCTTAAAAGAAAGCTTGCAGGCAAGAAGGGGCTGGAAATAAGTATTCAAAGTCATGAAAGGCGGGGACCTACATCCAAGATTTTCTATCCAGTAAAGCTATCATTTAGAATGGAAGAGCAGATAAAGTGCTTTCCAGATAAGGTCAAGTTAAAGAAGTTCATCATCACCAAGCCCTTATTATATGAAATGTTAAAGGAACTTGTTCAAGAAAAAGAAGATCAAAACTATGAACATTAAAATGATGACAAACACAACTATCAACAACTGAACCTAAAACAAAAACAAACTAAGCAAACAACTAGGACAGGAGCAGAATCACAGAAATGGAGATCACACAGAGGGTTATCAGCAGGATGGGAGAGGGAGGAGAAGGAGGGAAAGGTACAGGGAACAAGAAACATAAATGGTAGGTACAAAACAGTCAAGGTAAAGTTAAGAATACCATAGGAAATGGAGAAGCCAAAGGACTTATATGTACAATCCATGGACATGAACTAAGGGTGGGGACAGGGAGAATGCTGATGGGAGATGGGGTGCAGGGCAGAGGGGAATAAAGGGGAAAACAAAAAAAAGTAAAAAGAAAAGAAGAAATAATGATCAAAAACTTCCCTAACCTGGTGAAGAAAAGAGACACACAAGTCCAGGAAGCACAGAGAGTAGCAAACAAGATAAAACATAAGAGGCCCACACCAAGACATATCATAATTAAAATAGTAATAGGACCACATTGCACACTGGGAAAGCAGCACCACAAGAGCTAAGATAGAGGCCAGTAGAACATTTATAAAGGACCTTGAAGAAATCCACAAATGTGGAATGAAAAACTTCCAGAACATGCAGGTTAATAAAGCTAACTTATTGACTTGGCAAGGGCTTATTGTTTCTGACAACCCTCCATATGATAAGGGGGCCTTCAGAATTAAAATCAACTTTCCAACAGTATACCCATTCAAACCACCAAAGATCATATTTAAAAAGGTGAAGGTCTGTCTGCCAGTAATTGGTGCTGAAATTGAAAAGCCAGCAAAAAAAACCAACCAAGTAACCCAGTCCCTCATAGCACTGATGAACGACCCCCAGCCGAAGCCTCACCTTCAGGGTGACCTAAATGAAGAATACTCTAAGGACCATAAAAATTCTGTAAGAATGATGAAGAGTTTACCAAGAAATATGGGAAAAAGCAACCTGTAGACTAAAATCTGCCTCAATTGCTTCCAGCAAGTGTGAATAGTGCATTCAGACCCCACTCAATGCAGGACCCTGGAAAATTGACATGTGCCACTGCCTTACATTCACTTGTAGCAGTTACTAACTTTCTATAGTTTCCTTAATCATAAGTGGTCTAGGTAACCTATAAAGAAAGGATTAAGAATGTAAGGCTTCTGGTCAAGATGGCAGTGTAGGCAGACATGGCTCGCCACTTCACACAACCACATCAACTAAATATAAAATATTTAATTGTTCTACAGAAAAACAGCTAAAATATAGAACAACCATCACTCAAAACATCAGAAATTGAGTTGAATGAAAGTCTGAAAACTACAGAATTAAAGAAACCACATCCATCCAGACTGGTAGGAGGGGTGTAGATGCGGAAAGGGCTGGTCTCTCACCCATGTGTGGTAGATAAAAATTTGAGAGGGCTATCTTAGGAGTAAGGAGTCCCAGCCACACAACAGAACCCCCAGCCCAGGGTTCCAGTGTCAGGAAGACAAGTCCCCACAACTTCTGGCTGCAAAAAGCAGGGATTGAGTTGGAACAAGAACCTTCTGGAGCCCCAAGCTGTTCTTTAAAAACCCACAAACAGACTCACCTACTCACACTCACTTCCTCTGAGCTACAGCACTGGGGTGGCAGCTTGAAGGGTACGAGTGGCATACTGGGAGAGACCAAAGTATCTGACATCGGGATGAACAGAAGCCACTGTCCCTCTTCTGAGCCATTCCCTGCCACAGAGCCATGGAGCTGGCAAGCTGATACCATATGTGAGACTCCATCAAACTAGCTAACACTGTTTAACCCACCTTGGCAATCCCCAGAGATGGCACCACCTGACTTATGGGCCCACCCAAGCTGCTTTTCTATATGAATAATTGGTCTAGGCTCGTATTTCACAGCTTCCTAAATCCTATTAAATAAGCAACAGCTGGCCTCAGTGAGCTTCAGGCTGGGCACAAGCAGTAGCGGGATTAGTTTCACCCTTAGCTTCACCTGGAAATCTCTAAGCCCAGCACAAGTAACAGCCTTCACAGATTGCTTTATAGCTCAGAAGGGTGGCCCTGGGTAAAACATAGATGAGGGATGACCTCGACCTGCACCACCTGGGAAACCCTAGGGCCAGCACACACACTGGATAGCTACAGACCATGTCAGAGCACAGCTACCCTGCCTTTGCAGACCTAATCCTCCACAGAGGGTGGAGGTTGGTGGTAAGTGGTCACTGCCAATCCTTGCAACTGACTGGCCTGGGTAAATCCCTCCCATTGATATATCAACAGCAACCAAATCTCAGCTACTAGAGGACGATGTACTCAGCCCACACAAAGGGCACAGCTCGAATACCCACTTTGGGTAGGGTCTAGGAGGCTGTGCCACTGGACCCTACAGAACACTACTAAAAGACGGAGTCAAAGCAGCTCTATCTAATACATAGAAATAAACACAGGGAGCTGCCAAAATGATGAGACAAAGAAACATGGCTCAAATGAAGGAACAGATCAAAACTCCAGGAAAAGAGTTCAACAAAATGGAGGTAAGCAATCTATCAGATGCAGAGTTCAAAACATTGGTTATAAAGATGCTCAAGGAACTTAGTGAGGACCTCAGCAGCATTAAAAAGATCCATTCAAAAACAGAGGATTCACTAATTGAAATAAGGGACAATTTACAAGGAAACAACAGTGGAGTGGATGAAGCCAAAAATCAAATCAATGATTTGGAACATGAGGAAACAAAAAACAACCAATCAGAACAAGAAGAAAAAAGAATCCAAAAACATGAGGATAGTATAAGCAGCCTCAGGGACAAATTCAAGAGGTCTAACATTCACATAATATGGGTGCCAGAAGGAGAAGAGAAAGAACAAGAAATTGGAAATATATCTGAAAAAAATAATGAAAGAAAACTTTCCTAATTTTGTGAAGGAAATAGACATGCAAGTCTGGGAAGCACAGAGTCCCATCAAGTTGGACCCAAAGAAGACTACACCAAGACACATCATAATTAAAATGCCAAGGGTCAAAGATAAAGAGAGAATCTTAAAAGCAAGAGAAAAGCAGAGGGGTTTCCTCCTACAAAGGGGTTTCCATAAGACGGTCAGCTGATTTCTCAAAAGAAACTTTGTAAGCAAGAAGGGGCTGTCAAGAAGTACTCAAAGTGATGAAAAACAAGTACCTACAACCAAGAGTACTCTATCCAGCCAAGTGATAATATAGAATGGAAGGGCAGATAAATTGCTTCCCAGACAAGGTAAAGGCAAAGGAATTTATCATCACCAAGCCATTATTGCATGAAATGTTAAAGGGGCTTATTTAAGAAAAAGAAGATCAAAGCTATGAACATTAAAATGACAACAAATTCACAACTATCAGCAACTGAATCTAAAAATAAAAAACAAAAACAAATAACTAGGCAAATAACTAGGACAGGAACAGAATCATAGGTATGGTGATCATTTGGAGGGGAAAAGCTGGAAGGGAAAAGTGCAATAAAAGGGGAAATAGTTCAAGGATCAAGAAGCATAGTTTGATAGGAACAAAACAGACTGGAGGACTTTAAGAATAGTATAGGAAAGGGAGAAACCAAATAACTTACAAGCACTCCCCATGGACATGAACTAAGTGTGGGGGGGAATATGGAAGGAAGTGGGGTACTGAGGAAAGGGGGGAGAAGGGAAAATATTGGGACAATTGTAACAGCATAATCAATAAAATATACTTTTAAAAATTTAAGATGTCCTAGTTCTGTTTGTTTTAATGTGACCACAATAACGTTGACTAAATGGCAATCCTGATGTCTGTCTGTGTGTGACTGAACTCTACCCTGGCCCAGCCTGGTTGGGGAAACCCTGCAATATCAGGTCTGTGTCCATGCAAGGGAGAGCCTTCCAGCCAGAGGACACTGTACATCTGGTTGAGGAATTTCTCATCAGAGAGGCCCTGAGGTCAAAGTTTGGCTCTCCACCCTGAAGCCATTTTGACAGATGCACTGGTTATCACACACAATACTAAAGCCAGAATGTCCATTTGAAATTCCATGCTCACCTATAAGCAAGCTCCATCTTAATGTGCCACGGAGCTCGCTCTCCAACTCCTCAGTGCAACAGCCCCACCTCAGCCACTGCTCAGAACAGTTTGAAATTTTGTGAGGTGGAATTGTCAGGACTCAGCTATAGTCACTACTACACGATCATAGCAATAGATGCAGAAAAATCATTTAATAAAATCCAGCACAATTTATGACAGTTGCATTTTTATACACCAGTAATGAACTATGAGGAAGGGAAATTAAGGAAACATTCCCACTTACAACTGAATCAAAAATAGCTAGGCATAAATTTAGGTGTTAAAAGAGCCATACATGGAAAATTATAAGACCTTGAAGAAGGAAATCGAAGAAGATACAAATAAATGGTAGCATATACCATGCTCATAGAGAGGAAGAATTAACATCATTATATTGTCCATACTACCCAAAACAATCTATAGATTCAATGCAACTCCTATCAAATATCAATGGCATTTTTCACAGAACTATAACAAATAATAAAAATATTTATGTGGAACCACAAAAGACCTCAAACAAACACACAAGCTTGAGAAAGAAAACAAATTTGCTGGTGTCATGCTACCTAATATCAAACAATCCTACAAGGTCATAGTTATCTAAACAGCATAATACTGCCATTAGAAACAGACATAAATCAATGGAACAGAATAGAGAGCCCAGATATAAACCCATGCCTATATGCTCAGTTAATATATGACAAAGGAGGCAAGAGCATAAAATGGAATAAAGACAGTCTGTTCAATAAATAGTGTTGGGAAAATTAGAGAGATAAATGCAAAAAAGGGAAACTAGACCACCTTCATATACCATATTCAAGAATAAACTCAAAATAGACATTTTAAAAGTATGTAGCAGCTGAGTCCCAAGGTGAATTATGTGCCCTGTAGTTGGACAGTTATGGAGGGCATTCACATGGTTGCCATAGTCTTAAAGGAAGTATTGGGGAGAGGAAAGTGGACACAGCAAATCTTCATTTTGTAAAGAAAGACTACCCAGGCTGCAACATGGAAAGTGAATTGGAGGGGAAATGGTAGCAGCAAGTATACCATGTCATAGGTCAAAAATTAAAAAACAGAGTAGAGATTCAGTATATGCAAAGAAGCAAGTGCTTTAAATAATTAAATGAGCACTTTAAATACTACACAGTATTTTTTAGTATCTGTTTAAAAATATTTCACAGTCTGGACTTTCATTTTACCTTGAAAAACACTATCTTTGAAAGACAATTTAACTCCTAAACCCATTAAGAATTTTCTTGTTAGTTTTATAATATTTATTTCCCAGTGGGTTCAATTATCATATATGTTAAACAATCAGAAAAGGGTAATAACAGTAATCAAAAGAAACATCTAACCTAGCTCAGAAAGATCAAACTGGCCTCCAGTCTATTCCAGTCTTCTCTCTCTCTCTCTCTCTCTCTCTCTCTCTCTGTCTCTCTCTCTATTGGAAATTATGCTGTTTTATAGAGCTGTGTTTGCTTATTTGTTTCCATTTCAGGGCTTAAGGAAGAGCTTGCTGGTAAAGTTCTTAAACATGCATGAGGCCATGAGACTGAGCTTACTTGACAATTTGTTGATTCAGTTCTTCAGCTGTGACATATCATATGTATAATAACCACTGCTTTGTGTTCTGTAACACGAAACAGCAGGATAATATCCATTTCTGTTTTGTTTATTTTCTGAGAATCACTTATTTTATGGAAAAAAAGGAAGATATTTCATTATTTTGGTACTTTTTCCTGACAGCTATAAAAAACAGACTTCAGTCTCCTGTCCTATAAACTTTCTCTACTTTCATATTTCCATTTACCTTAAATTGCAATTTCACAGACTTGACTTACAGTTATCTGTTCTATTCTAAAGAACTCTAAATATCCAAGATGTTCTGAGTTCTTTTTCACAAGA